AAATCTCCTTGCTACTATATCCATCCTCCATTGTTGAAATTATGCATGGATGAAACATTTATCTCTGTGATGTTATCAAATAGCGTGGTGATCTGAGGCATTTACGTTGTTATAAGGAGATAACATGGTGTTACATTAGTAATGTTCCCACTGCTGGCATAAGTTGCTATGTAATTTCCAAGAAATACCCTGCAGGTACATAAATAAGTTATGTCATTTCTGAGTGTATTCATTTTGCATTACAAAAAGCTTAAATTCACACTGCCCTTAAAACTTCAGGCATGGTTATTATGAAGAATAGCTCACATGTAAGACTAGGTGTAGTTTGGGTTTACCCATTTTCATCCTGGCAGTACACCACAGTACACCTTGTTGGCATAAACAAAGATCATTGCAGTTTTGGTAGTAGAAAGTCTGTCATCTTCTCTACCATGCATGGGTGACACTAATTGTCATATGAAAAGGTGCTTTCTTTAGGCTAAATGGACACAGTAACAGAAAGAACAAAAGTGGAAGAAGTTCAGGTATTTTGTTTGTGTGTAGATGCATGACTTGATTAATTTCCAGCTATGCCTGCTGAAAGATTTAGACATCTTCTGGAGCAAGCCAACAGTACATTTTCTTAATAGGTACCAATTCCCATTTGTATCCTTGCCCATCAGAAGTATAAATGTGCACTGGCATCGGGTTTTGCCCAAGGTAATACTTTTGATGAAAGTTCAGGCGGGTTGCAGTAGTTGTTTACAGGAGTGTAGATACCGTGCACAACTTTGGAAGGAGTAAATCAGATAAAACCATGCTCCCTGTTTGTTTTTTATCACGACTCCTACAGAAATTTTAAGGACACTTCCCCAGCAGCTCTAATTTCAATGTGGTTTAGGGAGGCGGTGTGATTCAGCGGGCTGGACATGGGTTTCCTCATTTGTAATGTTATTTATTATTACTTAAACCTGCTCTGAGAATTATGGGTGAAAAGCTAAGTTATTCCTCTGGAAAAGAGATTATTCTTACTGTGACTCAATAAAAAAATGACTGGGTTGACATTCCCCATATGGTAAAAGTCTTGGAGATGGCTTCTTTGAGGGGAGGCAGGTGGCCAACTTTGCACTGAGGGCTCTCAGCTGGAAGTCTTGGACCTGAGCAAGTATTATGCTTGTATGTTCATAACTGAACAACTGAACTGAACTACTGACTAGTAGTTGAAGGTGTACAATAAATTATAGATGATTTTTAAAACCTGGGTGATGGGGAGAGGGGTTTTGGCCTAGATATTTTTCTTTGGCAGAAAAATGAAGAGTTATTAGAAATTATGGCTCTGAATCTACTTACTCTGATGGATTGTGAGGTGTGCTTCTAAGAAACACAAGAAATGGGATTAGGTATACAAAGTTAATCAGCCTCTTTATCTGTGTAAATTCTGCCCTGGTCTTTAAGTACGTCATCACATAGTCCTTGCCCATCGCATCTGGGCACATTCAAAGATGAACCCAGATGCAGTGATCTGGGCTCTTTCAGAGATGCAGAAGATGAACACTGCTTGAAGTTAATGAATGCCACTAACAAGTATGCACTCACTCCTTTGGTTTCTCTTTCAAGTTAGAGCTGCAGGCCTTTTTTACCGTGCATTATTCAAACCTTGGTATGGAGACAGATGTCTTCATGCCTGTATCGGCTCTTCATCACTACAGTGTTCAATGACTTAAAGATATAACTGGTATTTGCTGATGGAGAAGCACCAGAGGCTCAGGATCCTGGTTCCAGCCTGAGCTGTGCAGAGGAGCTGCGCCCGGTGAACACAGACTCTTGCTTGTTTCTCCAAACATTACGGTTTCTTCTCTGTTCACTCCAAAGTGGTGATTTCCCAGACTTGTCTCATCCTTGGGCTAGACTCCCTTTTCCAAGCTTTAATTTCTCTCCCACCAGAATGCCCCTTTTCATCCTTCCACTCTTTGCCCAGCCTATCTGAATCTCCCTCTCCAAGTGTCCTTCTCTGGCCTTTCTCACCATGTGCCCTGTTTCCTCTTGCTTTCAGTCCTAGCTTGTTATTTCAGGGACGGCTGGGTCGACATAAATAGCTTGCCCTGGCCAAAAGGGAGGAGATCATGTGCTTTGTCTTCTTTCACTTGTCCACTCTCAGACATAGGAAGTTCACCATCCCAATTTACTCATTTCTTTCCCCAATGTGCTGGTTTCTTTCTATGTTTCATTGGCTTAGAAAAACTCCTTCTGTGTTAAATATTATTTTTTGTACTAAACAGTACAAAAGAGATAGTTTTGTGATTGTTTCTTCTGGGCAGTGCCTGATTAAATAAGCCGCTGCCCTCTCTCTCCCTCTTGGTCCCCACCCTCCTCTCCTGTGCCAGCACAGATGCCCCTGTGGCCAAGTTGGGAGCTATACTAGGAAACCAGTCTTCGGTAGGATTAACCCAGCACCAGTAACAGGCTTTTCTTTCAGACAGTGCCACCACACAGGTTTGGACTGATGCAACCAAAGGGCTGGTAGGAAGCTGGTGATGAGTTGTGTAAACGAGTGGCATGCCAAAAAAAAATCTTAGTGAAACTTTAGTCCTCATTTCCTTCCATGTTTCAGTTCCCTGTCTTGCCCCAGTCAGCAGGACTAGGAGCAGCCACTGAAATGAAGGTCCTTCGAAGTCCTTGCAGGGCTGGCAGGAGGACCTGAGCCTGCAGCAGCGTGTGCTCTGCCTTTGCAGCAATACGGGCTTAAGGAGTTTTCCCTCCTCATGTTTTTAGCATATTCCTGCCTCTCAGTGGTAAGCTGGATCAGCTTGCTGCTCTGGATGAAGCGTATTCTCCTCCTCTCCTCCACCCTGTGCTAGTTGGGATTTTTTTAACCCAGATGAGTGGATCCAGTTCACCGTGCGGCTGTATCAGTGCAACTTGTGTAGGGTGGGAATGAGTAGCCAGGATGGAGGGAACATCCCCTGTAAACTGGCACTGGCTCCTAGAGAGAGTTGTGGGGCCACTCATGCCACTCTGACTCCAGCAGTGGTATGGAGAG